GAGAGAGAGAGAGAGAGAGAGAGAGAGAGAGATCTCATCATGTTTTCTTAGCGGGCCGCTGCTCTGTCTCTTTTCTATCCCTTCCTGCTGCAACACAACTGATTCAAATGATCGGGGTCGTTATCCAGCTTCTGCAGATCTTGCTGATTATCCGGTCATTTGAATCAGGTGTGTTGCAGCAGGGAGAGATGGAAAACAGGCACAACAGCGCCCCCCGAGGAACTGGATTGAAGGCCCCTGCACTGAACTTTTTGCGAATCAAAGATACCAGATATACTGCAGTCATACTGAATGTGAGTTAAGCTACTCTCGCAACATGATGGCTCCAAGAATGGACTTACTATGTCACATATAAAGCACCTGCATAACAGGTAAAAAGGGGACAAACAATGTTGGACAAAATAATCCTTGCAGTCTGTGGGCACAGATACAGCTCCCAATACAAACCAAAAAGGAGCAGGTGGCAAGGCAGAATGTGAAGCCAGGAAGTTGGCACTGCTGGTCAGTACAATAACTCAATGGACTGGTGAACAGCTGTTTCCAAAGTTTTGGAAAAACCCCTGACTACCTGAATGACTGGTGATGTTCATGCATTTTTTGTTCCAATAATGTCAGAGACGTTGTACACATGTAAACATTACATCATATATTTAATGCTTATCTGCGTTTTTTTTTTCTGTTCAGAGTTCAATGCCTCCCAATATTTCTCTTCAGAGTTCAGTATGTTCCAACACTTCCACCATTCTCGTAGAAAGTTCACCAAAGATTTTTTTCCTGGTCCGGCGAATGCTCCAGCACAACAGGGGAAAGATTTGTCTTTCAAAACGAAGTTTGCGGGTTTGGCTCGCCATCTTGAATCCCAAGTGGGTGTGCAGTTTCCTGACCCACACAAAAAGTCCTCCTTGATCCAAATTTCCAAAAGGAAGAGTAGTAAGCAAAAAAACAAAAACAAAACTGACCAAAACGTCATAGATTGATTAAATATGTCCTTCGTTAATCATCAACCATGTTTGAATGCTTTCAAGTCTCCAAAAGTATGAAAGTGTTTCATCGTATTCAACTCTTGGTTTTGTCTGTTCACCGCTCCGTGCATGTTTGACTGATGCAAGGCTATACAGACATGCACGGCAAGTGCCTTAAAGGGACAGTAAACTATTTTGCATCCGTGTATCAATCAAATGAACATTTTATCATACTATTCATTCATACATTCATTTTCCGATCCGCTTTACCGCGCTCACACTCACACCTAGGGACAATTCACAGTGTTCTATTAACCTGCCATGCATGTTTTTGGAATGTGGGAGGAAACCGGAGGACCTGGAGAAAACCCACGCAGGCCCGGGGAGAACATGCAAACTCCACACAGGGAGGCCGGAGCATGGATTGAACCCAAGACATCTGCACTGTGAGGTTGATGTGCTAACCACTGGACTACCGGGCCGACCTCATACTATTTAATTAATTATTTAAGCAAGCATTAGATTTTAACTTTTTAACCTATTTGTGCATTTTAATAGCTTGTCAGGATGTTACTTTGCACGGTTTCACTTGTCTCAAAGAATAAAGTCTTGCAATTCTAAGAACACACACACACACACACACACACACACACACACACTCATTTCAAGTGTATAAATAAATGATCTGTTCTAGTACCGATGTAGCCGATGTTTAAGGCAATTTCTTTACGACTTAAGCCATTATTTTAAGAGCGTAAGGGTGTGCAAATCGTAGCATACTGCACCAGCAAGCAGCTGCTCTTATATAACCATTATCTTGAATTCTTTAAGGTCTGTAAAAATTAATAATGAAGAAAAGTACGATAGTACATTTAATTTTTATTATATTTCCAGCATTCCTTGGGCAATCTAAAAACAAAGACAAGTATGTGATAATACAATGTTTGAACTTTTAGTGAAGTACAGTACTTTTGCCTTTTTAACAAATGTTACGTGCATTTAAAAATACAACAAAACTGCATAGTTACACGTGTAATTACTGTTATGCATACAAAATATGATCATCTAAAATTATTTTGAACTTCAATGGCCTCAAATGCCTTTAGTTTTGTTTTTACACTTAGAAGACTGTGCAATCATCTGAGTAAATTTGGGCTCAAGAAAACAAAATTAAACACATCTTAAAAGTATTCAATAATATTACAAAACCAAATTAGGTAGGCATCGAAAGCTCTGACGTCTTCGTTGAAATGTTCCCAAACTTTCGATCTCCGATGACGGTTAACCATGATAGCATTAGCATACTATACTACACTCCTGTTCATTCCTACTTGCAGGAGTAGGCGTAGCTTTTCCAGTGACATCCGACTTCATTCTTTTAATGGCATTTTCTATCTCTTGTGTAGTTATCGGGTCCTCCAAGCTCGTCACGCGGCACACGGCCGAAGAGGGCACGCAGCCTTGGCTCCACCCTCTGCTCTGCACACAGGTGGTCGCAGGAGCACGGCAGCGCCAGGCTTTCGGCCGGAGTAGGTGAAATAAGTTTAGCGAGCGTATGTTGTTTTTTTTCAGACTACTTTTAGTCTCAAATGTGGGTTCACTTTTTTGGTTCTCAAGAATCTGAAAAGGCGGACACAAAAATGCTATCACAAAAATTGCTGGGACACTCTTGTCTGCTCTGCAGTCTACCGCTTCTAAGGAAGGAGTTACTTTACACCCTGCTACATCCTTTCCATGAGCATTTCCACACCATCAATGGACAAATCAGGGCAGATGGCACCCGGGAAAAAAAATGGTCACAAGTTTTGATTGCATATGCACTTAGTGTCCTATCTGTCCACAACGCTTGCGGGTCGCTATGGTAACGTTTAAATGTGCCTTCAAAATAAGATACACGGCAAATACAAAGTGCATGAAAAATACACTCACCATCGCTGAGTGGGTTTGCTGCTTGGGAATCTCCCATTGAGATAAATCGGCATTTTAAGTAGTACTCCTGATATTGTCCATTAAATGTAGCCTTCTTTTTTATTTGAAAATCGTAGGCTCCTTTTCTGCCTCCTGGCTGGGCCTTTTTCCCCTTCACAAAGAAACTTTCTAAAGATTTTTGTTTTTTACTCATTTTGTTAGCTCCTGGGTTTAATTTTAGCGGTAACCTATCACGTGGCCGAGATGCGCGCCAAGAGTGACATACTGTAGACTGATGTAACAGAGAATCCGGTAAATTTTCAAAATAAAACATATTTCAGATTCCGAAATGAATTAAACTGAAGTAATGTAAGATATTTTTTTCTTTCTGTGCGGCCCGGCACCAAATGACCGACGGACTGGTACCGGTCTGTGGCCTGGGGGTTGGGGACCACTGAGATAGAATACAGTGCTGTAAGGACCACTAATATAGCTACAAACTCAAGCTGGGCCTTATCTTACTCATTTCACCTTTATCTTTCAAGACAGAGATAGGAATTTGCTGAAATGGCAAAAAAAAAAAAAAAAACTCCACAGTGGAAGCAATTACCTTGATACTTCGGTGTTCATTTGGTTGGTGGTGCTCAAAACTGACATGTCAGCAGTGTTGTTGCTGCCACTCCTTTCCCACAGGGCAGTACTAATGGCTGATTCCATTGATGAGTCTCAAAAATACAATCTTGCCCACCCCTTTGTGCAGTCACAGTCATTGTCCTCAGCAAAATCAATGATGATCCTTTTCATCCATTGGTACAGTAGTTTTCGAAATGTCAGTCACAAAATCCACCATCCAGTGAACTAAAAAAAAAAAAAGACTGACAGATGTGACACGTTTTACTGCCGCTGGCTTCTTTGACTTGTTAAAAGTAAGCGCCTGACTGCAATTGTTCATTTCTGTTTTGAGATGTCAGATTAAAACAAAGTCTGAGCTGACTGTTGACATACAGTTCAACATCTAAAGCAAGTATTTCAAAATCCGTGCTCCACTAATTTAACCATATAGTATAGTATGTGACACGGGCTCCCTGTGGATATCTTGCAATTGGTTATTGATTGATGCCGTGATTCATCCCACAGTCATATCAAAAAAATGACAAGCAGCATCAACACCTTATATTTCACACTCAAAATCAAGGGTGTCTCATCATTGTAACAGCTGTTGCTAAAACACTAGCAACAAGTGAAAATGCACGTTTTTGTATCTTTTTTTGTGTTCTGCATTTGATATATCCCTTTGTAGCAAACCTTGCATTTCTCGCCAGTAACTGCTGCTCCATGTTTGTTTTGACATCACATTCATTACTTTACAGAAGACTACTGCAATATTTTACCCTTATTAATATTTTATCAAGCAGTGTGGGAGAAGGGGCAACATTTTGGCAAAAGAATATGCTACATGGGTCGTTTGTGTTTACATCCAGATAGTTAAATACTGCAGCGATGACATGCTCTATAAACGCACATCTGCGAAAGCAAGAGCACTGTACGTCATTGCTAGAACAATAAACTCGAGAGGAAATGGTGTGATTTTTCTTTGTTTTCCTTCGTGTCCACGACCCGTCAAACGATCGGCGCTTACTTTCCCCCTGTCAAACATGCTATTGCGTCAGACTCAACGTTCAGCTCAATAGCTAACTGAAAAACCTCAAATTAATGCATTTCATTTCGCGGCAAAGCGCTTTCTCTCGGGCGTGGTGACTAAGCCCGACGCGGCGTCTTCTCCAGATGTGTTGCCAACACAGCAGACTGCAAATAATAGAATCCAGCAAGGTAGCGATGCACTGATATTCCATTTCCCGAAAATAGGCCTTAAAAAACATAAATTGCCCGTTCTGCCATTGTTGAAGAACAGTTCCATTTTCCCGTCGATGTATTGTTCATTAGAAACTCCGACGCTTTTCAAAAAAAAATCCAGCGGTTGTCCGTTTAGATCCAGCAACGTCTTATTGCGCGCTCTCTCTCTCTCTCTCTCTCTCTCTCTCTCTCTCTCTCTCTCTCTCTCTCTCTGTCTCTGGCTCCTTGACGAGTTGTCGCTTCTTTCTTTCTGTCTTGCTGACGTTTCCGAGTTGTCCTGGTAACGCCACAGCACGTTCATCCAAGTCGTGTCGAGTAAAAGAAATTGTCCTTGTAAATTGAACACTATTGTAGAACATCGTATTCTATTTGATTACGTTTGTCGAGAGAAGTGCGGTGGACGTTTTACAGTAGGCTATGCTCTCTGTCAAAAATATAGGTCAATGGACCCCTTCAAAGGATTAAAAACATTTTTCCTCCACATTCTCCTCCTAAAGTGTACACTTTACTTAAACCATGTGGCCTGAAAGAACATTAGTGGGCAAAAATTGGAACACTGTACCACTGCTTGGATTCAAGAAAGGTGCATCATTTTCAGGGGTACACAAAATTTTTTGGGTGTGGTACTCATGATTGTTCCCAAGCCACTGACCTCATGAAAGACTTCCTGCACATCTGATCAAGGTTTCTCATTATGTGGGAATGTGTAATTTTAATATAACTGAACAACTTTTTTCCAGTTTTCACTTTTTATTTCTACACACAATTGCAGATTATTATAACAAAAAACAATTCACTGTTTTATGAAAAAAAAATACATTCATATTAGTTAGTTAGTTAGTTAGTTAATTGTTTATTGAACATAAAATACAACAACAATTGACAAAAGGCAAACAAAATTACAAAAGGAAAAATAAGAATAAAAATAAAAAGTAAATAAAACAAACATCATCACCGTTATATGTTCAAAGGAGTAGGAAGAAGTATACAACTTATCTAGTCCTACCCCTTGTTGTGTAATAATATAAATAGATCATTTTTCAATGCAAAAGAAAAGGAAGAGATCTACCTCTCATCAAGTACTTTTACCCTTATGTGTACTGTACTTATCTATTTATACACCCTTCTGTTTGTATATACATACACATATATATATATATACATACATGCATACATACATACACATACATACACGTACATGTGCATACATACACATACACACACACACACACATACATATATAATATATATATATATATACACACACACACATACATATATAATATATATATATATATATACACACACATATACATATACACACACCTACATATATACATGTATATAATTATTCATTCTTCTTTTTATATCAATTGTCTCATATTCATTATAAATACTGCATTTCTTGAATACATTTAATGAGTTGATCAAAATCCAAAACAAGAACAGACCGTTATATTACTATATTTTATAAGTATATCGAATTTATCTTCTTAACTTTGATTTTTGTAGTTTGTTTGTACTAATCTTTTAAATTTGTTTTTGAACTCGTCCAGCGATTTACTCATTTTCAGATCAGTTTCAAGCTTATTCCACAGATTGACTCCTATTACTGATACACACCTTTGCTTGATGTTTGTTCTTGTTCTGGATTTTTT